TATAGAGAACTAAGCCCTCTTCTAATTGGACTACCATTCCTAAGTCCCTTCTACACAAGAACTCAAGACCTGACACATGCAAACTATCCTCCCATTTAAAAGTTAATACAAGCTCACAAACAGCCTCATTTTTACTATACCTGGGTACATTTATAAACACACACACGGCAAATTGTAGTTGGCTGTACACCAAAATTAGATGCTAAGACCCTGCTGCTGAAATGGCACACTCTGGTCAAGGGGCATGGAGAGCTCAGGCTGAGGCTGGGAAGGAAGCATCCTCTGCAGAAGTGCCAGAGGCTGCTGCTCAGGTGCAGCAGACATCGCCAAAGCTCTCACTTAGCAGCAGGACTTTCCTGTAATACTGACCCTGGTCAGGCAAGAGGTGCCTGCTGATGCAACAGTGGCATGACTTTTATAAACCAACCAACCACCTTCTGACTGGAATCAAGTCTGCTTCACAAGAAGGAATCCATGCCTGGTGCTATCAATCTGGCCGAAACTCTGTGAGAATGACACGGGGTTGCAAGTCCCGGCAGAGAAGCTGCAACTGTGGTTTGTTCTAAATGGACATGATGTGCTAGTCAAGTTGCCACCTAAACAAATATGCTTAGCCCCATACAGACAGGTGCTGCTGACAGCTTTGATCAGAGGAACCCCTCCCCACAAGACAGTATTAACTCATACCTAACTGAGGTATGAGAATAAGTGATAAGTGATAAGGCACTGAGAAGAAGTGATCATGTAGCATTTAGCCATTATTGAGACATCTATGTCACCCCCTCCAAGACAGCACAAAAGAGAGGGCAGAAAGAATTGAGAAGGACAAGCATCACAGAATGCTATCTCTGGATGACATGTGTGTGGCACTCTTGAACTCACAGCAGCTGTAGTTACCTGCACAAAGCTGGGCCATCAAGACCTCCATGGAGCAGAATGGGGCTCATGAGGTCTGCTTATCCCTATGGATTTATAGGTAGTTAATGGTTTCTTTGGGGGGGGGGGGTGTTCGCTGATATAGAAACACTACTGTAAATAAACCCTCACTTCATGCTTCTAAAATAGCCTTAATAAAACCCATTAGGCTGGGAGTGGAGGGAGATGAAGCAGAACAAGGATAAACTGGGAAGGGAAAAGTGGCAGCAGCAGTAAGAGAAGGACAAGAACGAGTAATGGGAGTTATTTTATGTGCACTGGTGTTTTGCCTGCATGTACGTCTGTATGAGGGGCCAGATCCCTTAGAACAGGACCTACAGATAGTTGTTAGTTACCTGCAGGTGCTGGGAAATGAACCCAGGAAGAGCAGCCAGTGCTCTTAAACAATGAGCCATCTCTCCAGGCCCCAGTAAGTAGGATTTTAAACTACTAAATGGCATCAGCAGCCTAAAATCTTGCGTGGCTTTGATAAATACTCAGCTTTTTTGAGCTGATTCTACATCTGTGAAACTGGAACACTGTTTGCCTTCTCCCCTTTTACAGAAAGACCACACTGGTAAGTACTAGTGTTTGCTTGAGCACTTGATGAACGAAACAAATTGCCATCCAAGTGATTGATCAGGAAAAAAGGCTGTGCTCACCTTGATTAAGAAACCCAACGTAGGCTGGCAGTTAGGAGCACTGTCCTCTTCCAGAGGACCTGATTTCAATTTCCAGCAACCACACAGTGGCTCACAACCACCTGCAATGGGATCTCATGCCCTCTTCTGGTGTGCATAAAAACAAAGCACTCATGTATATAAAATAAATATTTTTTTTTTTTTAATTTAAAAAGAAGAAAAAAAAACCCAAGGTTAGAAAAACTGTTAAGCACACTGGCCACTGTTGCTGAGAACTTGGTTTAATTCCCAACACCCACAAGGGAGCTCAAAACCATCTGTAACTCCAGTGCCAGTGGATTAAAGCCCGTATCTGGCCTCCGTGGACACTAGGCACACATACATGCAGGCAAAACACTCATACACATAAAATAAAAATAAATAAATTTTAAAACAACATTAACAAAAATACCTTGTCAGGTGTGGTGATGCACACCTTTAATCACGTGAGAGGTAGAGGCAGGCCGATAGCTGTGATTTCTAGGCCAGCCTAGTCTACAAAGAGAGTTCCAGGACAGCCAGGGCTACATAGAAAGAACATGTCACAAAAACAAAACACTATCAAAAAGAAAGAAACTGAAACCTCTACCAGCAGATGGGTTCTCATCTGATTTCTTTATGATGGCTAAGCATCATAGAGTCTAGGAAACCTCTAAATGGAAGTAAAAGCGTGAGTGAGTGAGTGAGTGAGTGAGTGAGTGAGTGAGTGAGTGAGTATCAATCACCTCACTTTAAAAGAAAGGACACAAGCACAAGAGAAGTTTACGATCTGATTAAGTGCTGACTTTCAACTGCAGCCTTGGGGAAGGAATTTTACTGGTTTCCTTACCTTTCCAAAGGGAACACTTGCCTCATTTAGTGTAAGAGAAGCCTGAGAGGATAAAAAGAGGAATCACTGCTGACAGCATTCCACAGCAACCAGAAAAGCTTAGATGCTGATGAGAGCCTGGGTAGAATTAGTTCTTACATGTTTAGAGCAGAACCCCCCCCAAAAAAAAAATAAAAAAGAAAGAAAGCAAATAAAGACACACAATTAAAATTCACCCCACCACCCCATCCCCCCTTCCCTCCTGGATCTGCTGAGACAAATCCACACTTGGGAGCTGTAAAGATCACAAGTTTAGTTCCTGCCCAGTGCAAACTGCTCAGTGACCACTGTTTCACACTGATAAATGCCTCCCAAATCTCAGAGCATGGAGAGAAAGTTCACAAGGTTAGGTGCATTAATTAGCAGCACTTATTTGGATTCTGTACCCACCAAGTACAACAAGCAGCTATTCAGTACCTGCATATACACACTCTTCCAAGATGCCTAATTCAAAAACCCACCCAGAGCAAAAAACAAACCCCAATAAACTGAAATAAACCTTTCACCATTGGAATGTGCCTCAAGTAAAAGCAGCAGCTCTGTCCCACAACAAAGGGTCTGCACCAGCCTACAGCTCAATAGCACAAATAAATAGGCATACAGATACAAACAGCTCCCTGCTGCAAAAGAAGAGAAATGAAGAGTGTGGTGCAGAGACTGATATATGAGCTTTAACAAATTCTTGCTAAGTCCTTTTGCTCCCTTCATTGATCTGCAGTTCTGCACAGGAACACAAGACTGGATATTACTCTTCAGGGCCTTTAAATTCAGAATTCTATTTCCCTAGAGGTGTATCAATTAACCTACCTTCTGACCCCCAAACAGGCAATGTTTTATAAATAATAAACTGTGCATTACTATGTAAGAGTAGATTAGGAGAATGAAGGTGCTCTCTTATATGTTAGCACCATAGATAAAAAGCAAAGGGTGATATAGAGAAGAATCCCTTCTAATAAAGCAGCCCCTACCACTCCAGCTCTCGCTCTGCATGACTCAACCACCAGCAGGGATTTTTAATATTAGAACTGCTAAACCCATTCTGTAACCTACTTAGTCGGAATCTGTAGGGGCTCATCTCCAGGCACCAGCACTTGGTGGCCAAGATACAGAACTATCAAAGGTCATAAATACCACAACCAGTAGAAGCTCAAGGGCAGACCTACACTAGAAAGAAAAGCATGCACGATATATATATTCCCTTTAGATTTGGGGGCAGTGACCACATCTTTCAATAAAAGCTCCCATCTTCTGTTTCAACAGGAAGGATCTACTGGGAGAGGAGCCCTGAGAAGAACAACTCTTCTTCTGTCCTTCCTCTCCTACCTCTGGGCACTCTGACGTCAACCTAGCAAAAATTCAAGCACTGGGTAAGTAGTCTTTAATGCGGAAGGCAACCATGCAGAGGACTGTTGATTACCCTAGTTCCTGAGATCGGCTTCAGCAGCTCTGATGAGATGCAGTCACCTTCTAGACTGGGAAACTACTCAACCTTTCACTTAGCACTGCCACTCCATGTGTTCCATGGACAAGTGTGACAAGGGTGTCTTGTTTGTTTTTGAGAACCCTACAAAGAACCTTGAATAAGCCGTCAAAGGTTATTAGAAATCACCCTTTCAAACATCCTACAGAATATAGATGTTCCCCCCCCCCCCCATAAAAAGAAAATTTCAATACCCTGCTGACAAGATGGAAGTTCACATCATTTCTCTAAGGGATGGCCTTATGGGTCCAACCTTACCTCTGCTCCAGCCTGTTAAATAACATAAAGATTATGAAGGCTTTACATACAGAGGCTGAAAGCTTTACACACTGGTTGTACTGAGGCTGACTTGTAGGAAGTATGACTGCCCGGGCTTAAGGACATCTTGGGACCATCAACCCAACAACAAAGGCAACAGAAACTGCATTCTCAAGTAAGCACTCCCTTATACAACCCACATGGCTAAAAGCCACCCCAGGGGAGAAGAATGAAATTGGCTTGTGGCAAATTATTGCCAAGACTTAAGCATCTGTGCAAGCAGAAGCCAAGTGATCAGACTCAAACATCTGTGCAAGCAGAAGCCAAGTGAGAGAAAATAAAAAAGATAAGTCCCATACTAAGAAATAAGAGGTCGCTGGGCAGTGATGGCCATAACCTTTAATAATAGCACTCAGGAGGCAGAGGAAGGTGGATTTCTGAGGTCGAGGCCAGCCTGGTCCACAGAGTAAGTTCCAGGACAACCAAAGCTACCCAGAATGCACCCCCCCTTCAAAAAATACATAAATAACTAGGGGGTACTAAGAAAATCAGGCTAAAATTACACAGCCTGGAGATGAAAAGTATTAGAACAGATATATTGCTAAGAGACTGTTTCTCCTCTAAGACCCATAATTAAATAACATGACTATAATACCTTTAGGGTTAAGAAAGGAAATTAAGTCATAATCTCTAAAAGCAAATTCAGTGGTGAAACAAACTGTAATTTGTAAGTAATTTCAGGAAAAGTTGCTGTTCCTTTCAGAACACACTAATAGAATTAGAAGCAGCAGATACCTACCTGGCCGTCCCGTGCTGGGAATCCATGATAACCCGGGGTCAGTGGCTCGTTCTAAGAAGAAAAATAAATAATAATCAAACTTTAAAAGAAAAGGAAATATTAAGAATCAAAATCATCTAAAATAATCAAATATGAATTTCTGCCCAAGTTCCCAAAATCTTCCATTTCAATACTCTACCTGCCTACCACACACACAGCCCCCAGCTGAGTCCTACAATACCATAACCAGAAACAAACCACAGACAATCCCAGTTTCTCTTTATGCAGGTAAAGTGTTTCCTTCCTCGTGTACCTCACACTGAGTTCTACTGAGACCCAAGGAGAGTAAGTCCTAACTTTGTTCACCCCTGAAGTTTGAGCAGCCCCAGAAGCTGACATAGGACAACAAGAATTCCACACGTTTCCATGTGCATTTACCCTGCCGAGAAACATTTTTAACCTGGAAAGTTTCAATTCTTTCTATCAGTTCTTTTAAACCCAGATGAAATTCCACTTCTGTTCAAGACTCCCCTACCTGTGGACTGAAGTGACTCCTAGCGTGCATACTAGTTAGTATTACTTAATGATTTGCACAGTTCACTTTCCATGTTATTATTTCAATTTCTTCCTTTTAGAAATTCACATTTAGTGTGTCTCCTCTTCACAGCAAACAATTAAATCAAGATCCCGAGGGCAGAGGTGCTAGCCTACAAAAGCTATGCTACTAATTCAGTAGCGCTGCACACACACCACGAGCTTGCACTTTGGCTGACTAGAGCCACTTGATTATTCAGGCAACAGACACTGAGTGTAAAAATTCCAAATTAATGTTAAAAGAATTAAGAAAGGTGAATAAAACAATGTCCTTGCCTTGCAGGAAACTTTGGGAGGAGACAGGGTGTACACAAAGGAAAAATGATGGCATACCACTTCTTTGTAATTTCTGAGAACTCAATGAATCTACTTAAATACCCCATCCTCTCCCAGGCACTTGGATTTTCATTCATACTAGAGAAAAGAGGGATTTTCACTGCTTGGGCTTTACGGAAGAGAATAAATTTTCCACTTAATGGCAGCTACCAAGATATGCATGGGTATGTACTCAATACAGAATCGAAGTCTGCAGTCCCTTCAAAAACACAAGAGATAGCCAGGTCTGGTGGCACACACCTTTGATCCCAGCACTCGGAGGCAGAGGCAGGCATTTCTCTGTGAGTTTGAGGCCAGCATGATCTATAAAGTGAGTCCAGGACAGCCAGGGTTATTACAGAGAAACCCTGCCTCAAAAGAAAACAAAAACAAAACAAACAAACAAAAAATACCAGAAGAGGCAGAGGCAATGTAAGCCCATAGAGCTCTACTATGGCTTGTCCACCACGCCTCATTCGGATCTAGCACAATGACTGAGAAATGGTAGACACCTAAAAGAATACTTAAGCAAATAAATGGAATTGGTCTTATATAAGCTAGGAATTCTAACCTAAGTTATTTTCTGTATATTTATAGTCTCCTCAAAAAAAAAAAAAAAAAAAAAAAAGGGCGGGGGGGGGCAAAAAAAAAAAAAAAAAAACACTAGTCAGTATTAGAGACAGCTGCCTTAAAACTTATGTATATCAAAACCAAAAAGTTCTGAGAAGAAACAAGCTGAAGAGTAAGATTTCTGAGTTCACCACAAAGCTGTATCAGGACAAGGTGACCCTGGCCTAAGACAGGCTTGTCTGCTTCTGCATAAGGATAAATTATCCTCCCCCGCACCCATTTCTTCGTGTGTGCTGCTGGGAAGTTAGCCCAGGGCCTCACACTAGGCAAGCATTCTACCACTGAGCTACATCCCCAGCCCTTTTATATTTAAATAAAAGCCTATGATTCTGAGAGGGAATGGGGCAAGGACTAGACATGCAGCCCAAAAGTATAACTCAGAATTACGCAAAAAAAAAAAACAAAACAAAAGAAAACTCGCAATTACAACCAATTAATGTTTTTAAAGGATGCCAAGAAAGTCAAAGGCAGAAAAAATTGTTGTTTTTTAAGAAACGCTGATGAGACAGTTGGATAATTGAACATCCACATGTAAAAGGAGTTAAAGGCCCATGCCATATACTAAATTAACTCCAGACAGATTGACCTAAACTATAAAATTCACGAATGAAATTTTCAGTACCTCTGGACAAACAGCAGTTTCTCTACTACGACAGCAAAAGCATAGGAGACAAGAAAGTAAGGTCAATGAAACACCATTAAAAATGACAACTTTTGTCCTTCAAAGTCCACCAGGAACAAAGGTAATCTACACAATGGAGAATACTTATGATCACATTCAACAAGAGGAAAGTGCCCAAAGTATATAGGGAAGGGGGTGGGACGTGGCGGGGCAGTGCAGGAAGACTAGACAGGAGAGGACAAGGAACAGGCTCCTGAAAGCCACAACTCCTTACTTGGTATGGAGTCTGCAGATCTACCTCGATGTTATCCCTCACAGTGACAGCGACAAAGAAAACCCTCGCATATTGGGCATGCCAAGCAGTATGACTCAAGGATGAGAGGAAGGAGGAAGAGATGGAAGCAAAGAGATGACACGGTAATGTGTGAGGGCTGTTTCCCACTTTTGGAGGAAACGCTGGCTGTGGCCTGCAGAATCTAGTAGTCAGGGGCCCTGTTCTCCCCATTCTGCAGGCTCTCATCTCCACAACCCTTCTGAATCACCCTTTCAAACTATAAGATTTCAACCTCTTCTCAGAGGGGTTATATATATGACTAAGAAAGTAGTCAAAAAGTCCAAGTGTTTGCTAACAAGGACGCATGCCCCCCCCCCAAACAACAGTCCGCATCCATATCCTATGTCCTGACATCCTAGGGACCAACAGTACAGAAAGCTGTCTTTAAAAAGATCATGATCTGGGAAGCAGCTATCATCAGAAACACTAGAAGCAAAGATGGAACATCACCACCTGTCACACCAGAAGGCTAAGGCTACTAGGAACTCTTCCGGTGCTGGAGAGCCATGCCTCAGAGTAGTCTAAACTAAATGAAAAGGCATGGCTTTCCTTTTAAATTTTACCTTAACAGTATGTGTTTTGCACATACTGTAACAGTGTGTGTTTTCCAACAACTTGCTCAATACTGGGTCAAACCCCATTTCCACTAATGCACACGACTACATTCCACCCAGTCTCAGTGCTGCTCTGGTACAGCATCCTTCTAAATGCCAAAAAGTGTGTCCATTCTACTTTCTTGTTGCTGAACACTGAATTCCTCAGTTATACTCTGTGCTTACTAACCACACAGCCTGTTGGTATCCGTTTAGAGTTGAGACACCATTTCCAATCCAAGAGATCAGCAAAAAGCAAAATGAAACTACTACAATTGTCAGGATTGCACAAACAGGTATCGTCATCATACCTAATGTAAAAATATGAGTATGCCGGGGCCACTGACAAAGCAATGGGACAAAAATGCACAGTGCATACATGATCTTAGAACCCCACTGTTCTCTCTATTCTAGAGAATCACTAGTGCATGTGCTCAGGAAATGTGTGCAGACTGTCCCTGTTGTCAGTCACAGTGAAAACCTAGAAGGAATTTCCGTTTTCTCACAATGGGGAAATGATATCAGTGTGTGATTTCAACATCCTGTGTGCAAGTGTGGAAATAAAGGGAGAGCTCTGAGAGAGTTAAGCTCATGTAATTCAGCTTGGATGGCATCACTTTATAGGTCAGATACCAGGCTGGCCCCGTGCTCAGTTTTGAATCAGTGTGAGACCAACAGCTGAAAGGCTGAAAACAGAGATGGGATTATAAGGGAGCCCGCAGGTTGAACAGAAATGAAGCACATAAAAGCAGAGCATGGCGGTGAGCCTGCAATCTGAGGAAATGGGGTAGGGGACCAGGAATTTAAGCCAATCTTGGTAACAGTGAATTCCAGGCCAGGCCAGACTATGTGAGACTATGTCTCAAAAGCCCGTAAATTAACTAATTAATTAACTACATACACGTAAGAAGTACAATAACAATCACAGAAATGCTTATTAGCTACAGAGGCCGGCAATTAAACCTGCGTGAACATGTGAAAAGGCAAAACAAGGTCGGTAAGTAATTGTCAAGTACAACAACCACAATGGATGCTGAGTGTACAAGTGGACACTGAGAAGTGACACAGCAAGACAAACAACACTGACTTTCCTATCTTCACTGACACACCTAGGTATGAGAGCTCCACTGAAGCAAAAGAACCTTCAATCATGGAGCAATGTCTATTTGACAGTCAAGGCACTACTGTCCTTGCTACTGAAGGCTGCAGTCCTGATGATTAGAAGGCAAAGTTAGTGAAGCTGTTAAGAAGGACAGGGCCCAGGCCTGGAGAGATGGCTCAGTGGCTAAGAACACCGTCTGTTCTTCCAGAGTCCTATACTAGGATTTTTCCCTCTTCTGGCACACAGGTGTGCATACAGATAGAGCAATCATATATATTAAATAAAATAATTTTTTTTAGAAGAAAAAAAAAATCACAGGGTTCTTATTGAAAGGGGTAGGGGCACAAAAGCCTAATATCCCTAGCTTTTTATTAGGACAAGACCTCCAATAAAACTGTGACTGATGGTACATGCTGAAAAGAAAAACAGTATGTTTTTGTTTGTTTGTTTGCAGCAGTGGTCAGTTTCTGCTCTCATCTCAAAGGCAAGGGACCAGCCTAGGGCCTCACTCATGTCACGTAAGTGTTCTACCTTATGAAACAAACCAGACAGCATTAAAGTTAAGTCTCCCAGGCACCTAAAAGTTGTATGAAAGATTGTCATTTTGTTTGTACCACTGAAAGCTGGGTGGGAATAGAGCCAGAAACACTAAATATACAATGAAATAAGCTAACCAATTAAAAAGTTCAAAATCAACTCCACTGTTAGGTCTCAGGCAGTCCAAATATCCAGAAACAGTTCACACTGGACTGTAAGAAGATTTCTGGCAGGTAGATAAAAGCCAGCATTCCTCAGGAACTTGTGAAACTGCTTCCCCTCTGCCAAATGGAGTCACTTCCTCTAACTCTGGCAAAAGGGACATATGGCTCCTTTGGCATATAC